ACATTTTTGTATCATCTTTTTGCTGCTGTAAACACCAGAATTTCCCAATTGTGGGACAATAAAGGGATTTTTTATTCTCTCTTCTATTCTAAATGTACTTATATGTTAATGTAGTTATATATTTTACACTACAATCAGTCATTCATGCACACACTCACACTTATGTTTGCAAGCTGTGTAGCTATAGCTACCCTCTGACCTCCATCACCAAGCATTGTGGGTGAGGCGTCTTGTCCAACAACAAGAAGACACTGAAAGCCTGAGCCGGGCTTTGAACCCACAATGCACAGCAAACTCCTTTATCTGAGGCCACTGTCACCCCAAGAAGTTGGTTTGTTTGTAATGAAGCAGGAACTTAATTTCTAGGAGCATACAATCTATACTTGGGTTTTAAACTCAAAGAGTCCACAGCCTATTTGTATACTGGGATTTTTTTTTTTTTTTTTTGAAGAGATTTTCTGTTTAAACACAGCGCTGATCTGATCAACTTGTTTTTTTCCTAGAGAAATATGATAATGGAATATATTGATGGAAAGAAATGTATCACAATATAGAACAATACTTTTTTTTTTTTTTCTCATATAGCATTATTCCAGCAAGATTGGATTTTGCCAATTTGCAAATTATTTCAGTTCATTAAATTTGGTTTATTCCATGAAGAGAGATCAGAGGAAAAGACAACATAGGGAGAGAAATAATTGCCTCTCATCAGGTGATCCTGTATTTTGCTATAGAGGCTTTAAAAAAGCTCTTAGAGCAATTAAAGCAGCACTACAATTGGCCTGCATTTATTTAATTGTACTTTAAGGTTACATTAGATTTCTTAGAGTAAATTTAATTTCACCAATGCAGCGGTTTGCCTCTATCATAGTATCAAAGCATTTCAAACATTTTTACTGTTTTAACATTTTGTCATGGAATAAAGCTGAAGAACATACTTAGTGCTTTTTTTATTTATGTAATGATTTTTTATTTATTTACGACTGTATCCATCAAACTAAATAAATATTTTCTTTTTTCTGAAAGAAAATGCCAATGCTGTAATAGTAAACTATAGATGAGTTAGCTGTTATTTTTAAAGAAAAAATATCCTCTAACCCCTTTTCTCCCTTGAGGTTTCTCGCATTGTGCCTAAATTCAGTATTAAACCAACAATATTTTACCTTCATTTACATTTAAAAATGACCTAAGTTGTTGGCCATTATGACATAATTAATTACTGTACAACTTACTGTAACTTTAGTTTGTCAGGATCCACTGTGAAAAAAAGTCACATTGTAAATGCTGAAAATCTGCCACTTCTCATCACTTGCTGTGTAAGTGCTAAGTCAGTTAGTTAAAATACAATTGTGCTCTAAAAAACACTAACCAATAGAAACTATTGCCCCCACAGTGTGCTCCCAAACATATGCTTGGGCTCAAATAAAATCAGAGTCTAAAACCATTTAGGACCACAATTCAACAATATCTCAGAAGCACTAAAAAGCACCTAGAACTGAAGGAGTTTTTATATTGACTTATCTCATCAGACGAGACACATTAAAGCCAAATGTCAGGAGAGATTTGTAACAGATCTATAGCTGAACTGACCCTCTGATCTGCAGATAAATGTAGTCCTAGTAGACTGTATTAGTATGTATAACATGCATGCCAAACCTTTCAAAGCGTTGGACTTTTATAATTTCCTACCAACATCATTTGCCTCTGTTTTATATCATGGTACTGATCTGTATTTATTGCTAATTGAATTATTTTTGCCTTAGAGTATTAATTTTTATGCTCCATCAATAAAACATGATTGAATAGTTTCAAAGTACTAACTAAGAAATGTTGCAATTTATAAACTGAAGCACATCTTTACCTCTTCACATCGAAGAGGAAAATCAGATTTGCAGGATATTTTTAATCCTTTCCGCCAAGCTGTGGAAAGATTTGACCCAAACAGTCTCAGACACTGTGGATGCACACTGCTTACATGTCAATTGATCAGGGGCTGCATTGAGAACAGCAGCTGCAACCTTTTTCTGTGGTTAGCGCCGTGTCTTTACAGTAATTGCTCACACAATTCATGACAGAAGCCGTAAGGTATGACTAAAGAACATCCAATTTCAGGGCTCTCCTCCTCAACCTTGTCTCATCTATGGAGATGTGGTGATTAATTTTCTGGCCGCTTCCCAATGTGAATGTGTGCGCCTGTGTCTGTATAGCCAAGTATTTCATTATGTGCTGATCCCCCTTTATTCTCTGGTGTGTCTGCCAGTGCGTCTCAGTGGTGTTTTTGAATTCAAAGGAGGGTCTTTGCCAGGTAGATCAGGCTCCTTCAAGGACAACCAGGTGCTCTAGACAATCCTACATTAAATGTCTTCCTTACTGGTGTAGCGAGCATTATGAAGCAGCTCAAAGTTGGTAAACACCTTCTGGAAAATAATCAAGCTGTTAGAAAATCATGCATGATTTTTTAAATGTTAATATTTTCAGTTCATTTATAGCCTTGATTTTGCCAGTATGTCATTGGGTTCAGACAAAATAACAGCAAGTTAATATCTATACCTACTGCAAACTCAAGTATTTGTTATTTTGCCTTATATTATTTTTATTTTGCTTATTTTAATCTATTTAAATTGTGTCAAATCAGCACAATAGGTGTTAGAAAGATGAAACCTGAGACTTTCTCCTTTGTTTAGTTTTAGTTTATATCAAGGTTTTTATATCAATATTTTTCTTTTCTCTCAACCCACCTTTCTTCCTTGTTCCAATTTTTAACTCACTGCCTTCAAATTACTTTCCATTGTCTTTGTAGATGAACTACTGAGTCCTACTGGAGTTTTTTCCTATGTGTTAGGGCGTCCATTTGTGTAGCTGCTGATAAGTTTCTCCAGGATAGAAGTAGGAACAATCCTGGCTTCGTTGAACTGCAGACAGTATGCATGTGTGAGATTTTTGTAGTGTAAATAGAAGAATGAATGAAGGTATAGTGTCTTGAAAACTACCATTTCCTTTTTGATACTCTCCAGGCGTACCCAAAGTCGGCCCTCGAAGGCGGCTATCCTGCTGGTTGTAGAGGTTTTCCTGCTGCAGCACAGCTGATTTTTGATGATAGCAATACAGTAAAATAATGTTAATCAGTGGAAATAATTTTTGCTGAAGGAGGGAAATCTCTAAAGCAGGGTTCACCAACCTTTTTAAGGCTGAGGGCCACTTCAAGGGTACCGAGACGTAGGAGGGGCGACCATTACTGACCCATGAGCTGCAAGGGTTAGCGTTAGCCTAAACTTAGTTCATTATCAACATATTTTTATTGTTTCTGTTAATTTCTAAGTTTATTTAGACATTTTCATTTTGAAATCTCTATAAATGATTAAAAAGAAGAGCAACAGAATAAAATAAAATTTCAAACTTAGCCCACTGGCGGGTTGTTCTTTATTTTGAAGACTCTGAGGGCCCCCCATGTGGTCCTTGAGGGCACCGCGTTGGTGACCCCTGCTCTAAAGCTTGGAGGACAGCGGCCTTAAAGGAGTGACATTGGGCAGGCCTGCTCTAGCCTAACAAGAAATGATATGTTCTTCCACCACATCATGTTTTCTTTCTTAGTGGACTGAACAAAGCATTTTTTGTTTAGTTTTTTTTAAATCAGGATTGCCTTGACTAGGCCAAGTAAAAGGACTTCTAGGTGTGAAGTACATCTTGATGTCTGCAGGATGTCACATATTTGTTTGTACTTTACTGGATGTATGCATTTACTCCTGGTGCACTTAAAGTGGAGGTCTGTTAGGCATGCTACTATAGTTAGATTTTTGACATTGAGTACACAATGACTAAAACTTCTCTGTGGGATAAGTCTGCTTGGCAGGAATGACATATGTGTCACTGAGCCTTATGTGGTCAGTGATATCTGGCAACAACCCATTGCTTAGAGCAACCAGTCTGGAGAATGTGCAGAGTCACTGACACATTCTGCATTGGACATGCAGGTGTGTGGTGGGCTGCCTTGGTTTTTATTTATCGAAAGCTGTGAGGCAAGTTAGCTCTTCCTCCATATGCAATGATCCCCTAGCTGAAAGGAAATGTGTCACAAGAAATATAAAGAAGTGGTACACCTCTCATTGTAATCTATTCCCAGGGATCTGCTCATACTTGAGTCCTTTTACCTGTTCAACTCAAGAGAGTTCCCAAGACTGTGTGGGTCAAGTTTCCATAATGTCATAAAATGGTGATGCTAGTATGACAATAGGAAGTAGTTTATATACAGAAGGGACAATATCGCAGGTAAGAGTGGATTGGAAGATAAATGAAGCTAAATACAAGACAATACAGATGGAGGTTAAATGAAGGCAAAACTTCCGACAGATCAGCACCAGAAACATACAGCCAGATCTATAATGAATATTCAGAATAAAGCATTTTCATGTTTTAGAAAGGTTTAGTCAAAGTCCAGACCTAAATTTAACAGTGCTGAGACTTAAGCCCCTAAATCAGGGGTGGGCAACTCCAGTCCTGGATGGCCTGTATCCTGCAACTTTAAGATATGTCCTTGACTTAACACACCTGAATCAAGTAAATAGGTCATTAAAAGGACTCTGGAGAAATTGACTGCATACTGGACAGGTATTTCAACCATTTGATTCAGGTGTGTTGGACCAAGGATGAATCAAAATGTTGCAGGAAACCGGCCCTCAAGGACTGGAGTTTTCCACCCCTTCCTTAAATTCAAGTCTGACTCATGCTGCAGGTGAGTCAGCGTTAACTTTTGGGGCATGATGGGAAAAGCAGCACAGTTTTCTTCCTCTTCAAAAATAAGCAACAATTAAGTTACATCTTGAGCCAAAGCTACATTAGGGAAGGGAAATTATAACATTGCACTTCTTTTGACAGCTGGCTCCTAACCCTACATTTTGCAAAGCTAAAGTGCTTAAAGAAAAAAGCAGCTGCTGTGTTTTCCATTTGTGCTCAATTTTCATTCTTTTTCCACCTTTTTTGTCCTTCCTTTTATGCTTCCCCAGGTGGACTTTGCTTTTATTGTGTGGCAAAGTTTTCCGGAGCGGATTGTCGGTTATCCAGCAAGGAGCCACTACTGGGATAGTTCCAGATCACGCTGGGGCTACACCTCCAAGTGGACTAATGACTACTCCATGGTACTTACAGGAGCAGCCTTTTACCACAGGTACAAAGCCATGACTGACTTCCAGCTGATCAGCAAAAGCCTTGCACTAGTTTTTTCACATAATTTCCTTTCCTTTTACCCTTATTTTTCTTTTTAAAAAATACAACCAGAGAACAAAAATAATGCATTAAGATTAAAAACAGTGATGCATGTTATTTGGTGCCCAAACAGCCACAGCAGCTTTTAAATAAACCATTAGCAGAGATTTTCTTATCTAAACCTTTTTGTGATTTTTTTCCAGTTAAAAAATAGAAGTACACACATTCTCACTTTTACATTTTCTAAAATGGCTTATTGGCTTACTAAAAAAGTTATGTCATATTTATGAAGATATATTGTAAAAGAACGTTTTTAAGAACTAATTTAGATCAAATTGAACATATATATATATATATATGTATGTATAAAATAATGTGTCAGTTTGACAGTCAGGGTGTTGGAGCATTTTTCCACATTGAGCTCCTTCAGAGCATCAGTGGTGAACACTGCAGAGGAACCAGCAACCTGCACAGCTTGACTGAACTCATGAACCACATTTTGCATTCGGAACAACCTACTAACTGTTTGGAGTTACATAAAAGGATCTCACCATTATAATGGCTGTGCAAATAGACAGGCTTTCCATCGTTTGCAGTAATGGTTGTTATTCTAAAGCTGTAGGCACTTTTGATTGTATTTCTTCTAAAAGGACTTTAGTCATTATAACATCTTCCTTACACAGCGAGCTACCGCATTAGGGGTGTCCATTTACTGTGGTCATTTTACTATTATTTTTCTCTAAAGGCGAATATAAATCAAAACAGGTTTCGGTACTACCCTGTTATCTTTGTGTTTGTCAAACATAAAAAGCTAAATATAAAAAAATAGAAAATTCAAGTATGTAGCAGAGCAGTAAATTGAACAGCAGAGAATGTTCCTTTCCAAAGGGATTTTAGGGTGTCTTGTCACGCAGATAAATGGCTTTCCCTTCACTCTATTGTTTGGATGCTGAATGCACCTCTTTAGTCCTTTTGTTATTTGGTCTCTCAAATGCCAACAAAAGCAGACAACACGAATTAGAGGTGGTGTGTGTGCGTGTGTGTGTGTTCGTAAGCGAGTGACTGCAGACCTTGGCAGGGAGGTAAAAGACCTGACAGTGATCTAGTGCTCCCATGCTGGGAGTGCAACACAACAAACATTACTGAATATAAGGAAACAGAATAGAAGCTGTTAAGGGATGGATCCAGTACGGTAAATCTCATCTACCTCTTTGTGTTCAGATACTACCACTACCTGTTCACTCACTACATCCCAGCCAGCCTGCTGACCATGGTGGACCACATGGCCAACTGTGAGGACATCCTGATGAACTTCTTGGTTTCAGCTGTCACTAAGCAGCCTCCAATCAAAGTCACACAGAAGAAACAGTACAAGGAAACTATGATGGGCCAGGTAACAGAGGTTCATGCTTCGACATTACCCATATATCATTTCACTTACAGTATATGTCCAGTTTTTAGCTTTACGTTGAAATGTCCCTAAAAGTGGATTGGCAAATTAACTACAGGATTCAAAGCAAGTTATTGTAATGCATCCATTTCATCTATCCATCCACTTTCAGTCATGCTTATCCCAGCTGGGGTTGTGTACATATACATATATGCATACACATATATACATACATACATATAGACATATATACATATATACATACATGGGCTGCTGAGTCAATTAACAGAAGAAGTTATAATTAGAAAAGAACCCACTGGCTAAATAGAGAGAAATGCAGTAACATTTGGACGGCTGAAAAGAAGGGCCAAAGTGCTGGTGACAACATGTCTGAAGAACACCCTACTGAAGTAACTTCATGGTACAGGGGTGTGTCTCCTACTATACTGTCAGGCATATGCATTTCATCCCTGAAATTGTTAATCAGTTTGCATAGGTCAAAATAGAGTTATGTGGCCTGATAAAAGAATCTAAAATATATGTTTCCAAATCATTAGTTGAGAAATATGTTGTGTTTAGACCATCCAGATTAACATTCAGAAATTGCCAGTCTAATGACTGTACATATATCTAAAGAAGACATGTAGGATACATCAAATAACCTACTTCAAGTTTGATGACTTCATGCAGTGCAGATGTGAAGCAGCTCTAAGCAATAGCAGCCTTGAAATGTAACATAAGTTCAGGGATTCACCAACAAAGCCAAAAATGAGGAGCATTATTTTGACATCAGAACATTACTTTTCTTGAGGATAATTTTCTTAAACTACTGAGACAAATTAGCAGTCAGTGTCCCTTGGCTTGACTGACGCATCTTTCCTGTGGTCTCTCCAGACCTGATGACACCAGTGGTAACTGTAAACAATATTTGAGGTATTGATGAACAAAAACAATAATAAAACTAAATATAACCAATTCCGGATTGCTGATTTAACTGTCGTTATTAATAAATTTGAACTTGTCATTTGAGCTATTAATTCATATTTTCTCCTTCTGGTTAGGTAATACAAAATCAAACAAAAAAATAATCCAGTTGAGGATGGAACAAAAAAAAAGAAAATGTATGTTTTCCATCTTTGATAACGACAAGTTATTAACATGTATAATAGGTTTGTATAGTCAGGTAAAAAATTCTGTGTTAAAAGACCAAACTTTCCATGTGCTGCAAATGTTTCAGGTGCAGCATCTAATGTAATATACAAATTAGTTCAATGTTTGGATACTTTGGTGGGGATATAAAAAAAAATAAAACAGCTGTATTTATTACTATGCTGCTTGAGAAGTACAGGTCAAGACCTCTATCTGTCACCTTTGAAGTGTTTATAACAGCAGTCTGTTCCTAAAGAAGATAAAAACCTGAAAGCAGATCTAGCAGTGGCCATTTTTGAGGTTAAAACTGTGCTAGCCTTCTCTATGGGAAAGCCCAACATGTATGGTTTGTGTGTGAAAGTGTGTGTGTGTTCACGTGGCCAGCTCAGTGTCAGGTTCTGATTGATGACCTGACCACAGGCAGGACGATGACTCTGCAGTATAAACTCAGTGATTAATGTCTTAATTGTGAAGGCAGCACAGCAAACCAAGATTTACCCCTGACTTCACTCATTTCACTTTTCCTGCCTCCCTCCTCCTCTCAACTGTTGATTTGTGACTTTGCTTCAAGCAACACTGGCAAGGCATTTAGCATCAAGAACGTGGAAGTTGCTGAAATGTTTGGAAAACTTTAAACAACAACAACAGCTTAAATAAATTACCACAAAGCAAACAAGAAATAGGGTAATGCCAAACCACTTCTTTCACTTGATTTGTTGTAGTTCAATTATCCTACCTGACCTCCAGCTTCTGCTGCTGCTGGATCAATCTCTTCATCCCAATGACAAATCTGATCAAAAGGTCTGCTATCCTCTACTTTCCCCTCAGAACGATCATAAACCCTCAGACTCCTCCCCTGCAGCCAATATATATTAATTAGAGAATCAAACAAAAGAAGCAGAAGATTCTAGTGTTCCGGACTAAAAAAAACAACTTTCCGTTCATTATCCCCAGGCTTGCAGCTCATGAAAGTTTTATACATTTGCATGCTTGAAAACTACAAATGTATAAAAAAGGAACCAAGAACAAGGCAGGAAAAATCCCAGCAGAAAATTGCCAGGATAGATGATTAGTGCAAACCAAGCCTGCAGTTCATACTAAAGTAACATTTTATACTGGTTTATATCCAGTGATATGCAACCGATGTCCAGCCGAACCACCCAATTTCAATCCTTTGACTTCTGCTAAAGATCTGAATTGGGCTATTTCCTTATGAAATTCTAAGTTGGATCTGGCAGATATAGTGTAATAGCATCCACAGCTTCAACAGTTACAGTAGAAGCCATTCAAAATGTCCCCGCTTTCCTTGATAGTCCCTTAGCTGGTCCTTAGCTGGTCCCCTACAATTCCTTTTTAAACATCAATATTTGTACTAAAATATTCTTTCAGTCAAGATTTGTGGACATGAAGATCTAAAGAGAAGCGTCATTTCCTGGTCAGACCCTGTAATTCGTTGAAGGGTGGAGTCAGAGTAAAAAAATATGCAAGAGGAGGTCGATCCAGTGGCTGGAAGTTGGAGGGGATTTCGCTGGGAGTTGGAGGGAAGAGGGCTGCCATTCGGCTGGCGATTGACTGGAAAGGTATATTTTAAATGGCTGCTACTGTAGGTCAAATCTCCACACAGAGGAACATTGTAAATAACTGTGCTCTTTTTTTTCTAATTTCATGCTGCTGTGTGGTCATGATATTGTCAGCTCTTGTTTTTTTTCCACATAATAACACATGGATGCCAGCCTCTTTCATTAATTTAGCAAAATGAGTGAAATTTACATTATATGTCACTGTATGTAGGTTGCTTTGTGGTTGGGAACCAATCAGACTTAAGTCTGGTGGCAGTTTAGGGCAACAGTGGCTTTGGATGCAGGAGTTTGCCCTGCAACCAGAGGGTTGTCAAGCCCCGGCCCAGGCTTTCAGTGTCATAGTGTCCTTGGGCAAGACACTTCCCACGTATCGTCTACTGATGGTGGTCAGAGGACCCGGTGGCGACTGTGTACATCAGCCACTCTTCTGTCAGTGAGCCCCAGGAAAGCTGTGGCTACAATGCAGTTTGCGATCATCAGCCTGTGAGTGAATGGGTGTATGACTGAATGTTTGGTCAAGTCTCCTGACTTGAAAAAGTGCTATATAACTGCAGGCTATTTGCAAATAAATATCAGTATAGATGACTATGCAAAAAAAAAAAAAAAAGAAAGAAGAATCTGAATTTAGCAATAACACATATGTTGGAAAATACCCAAACATTTGTTATAAGAACAAATTTTCTTCTACCACTCAAGCATTATTGGTCTTTTGCCGTTTGTTTTACCAGCAAGTTTGAAACGTAAACACTTCCAGCTAATGCTAAACATGATGAATGGAAGGGAGGGCTAACAGAGTGATAGAAAAACTAAATGTTTAGTCAATAACCCACAACGAGCAAAAAACAGTCACAGCTAAAGGGGTGTGCAATTATATACAATATATACCAAAATAATAATATGGTTAACCAATTATAATTTGGAACAAAAATTTCAGAGGTTTTGTGCCAAATATTTTACCCTTGCATTGAGTGTAAGAAAGCAAAGAACCGACATTTATGTTATACTTCCTGGTTCAACAACCAATAAAAGGTGTCAATAATACTGAAGGTTTTTTTTTTTAACTTTTGGCTGAAAATATGAAGTCAGGTATTAAGCCTAGACTTTCTCAGTAAAATAAATATTCTTAAAAGCATTCTTTTGAAGACATAAATTTAGAAAACAAATGCTATGTGGTAGTTAGTAAAAAGGAAAAATCTTAACATTTAAAAGAAAAAACAAAACAGTAGTTTAACTGCTAAGATTGAAAAACTGTGCCATAAGCAGGATCGCAGACAACCATTTTAATGTCTCATTCTCTCTTTCTTTTTTTTTTTCCTTCTCCACACCAAGGGCTCTAAGGCATCTCGTTGGGCTGACCCAGACCATTTTGCACAGCGACAGACCTGTATGAACGCCTTCAGCCGATGGCTAGGCTTCATGCCCTTGGTACACTCGCAGATGAGGCTGGACCCCGTCCTGTTCAGGGACCAAGTTTCTATACTGAGGAAGAAGTACAGAGACATTGAGAGACTCTGAAGGCTACAATCAAACAGCATTTCAGAAACATAGAGTCATCCTTCCTCTCAGTGGGAAGGAAACATACGAACTGAATGGGATGCTATGAAACGGAAAGCTAGGAGTCATGTATATGAAGGATAAGGAAATGTTTGTTCTTGTGAAAAAAATGTGAGAAAATTGCAGGGAAGCGGTAACAAGCCAAATGGTCACCCACAATATTAAACAAATTTATCTGGAGTCGGCCCAATATCTACAGAAAAATGGCTAGAAGCATAATTTGAGGGTTTGCATAGATTTGATTTGTGGTTGCTCCACCTGGATAATCTGATTCAATGCATTTCACTCTTTGCTTTTCCAGTCAATATGCTGCAGTGAGAGGATCAATTACCCATATAGCCTGTTAGTGGCTTTAAAGATGTGGCTGATCAATGTGTGTGAATGCATGAAGGAAATGTACAACAAAAAACCTAGATACATACACGTTCATGATCAAAGACAAAAAGAATGTGTTTCATGGTTTAAAGGAAGTAATGTATACTGTGCAATACATGAGATATGTTTAGAAAAAAGAAAGAGTCAAATTCCTTCTAATGAGGTTAAATGTGTACAGAAATCAGTCAAAGGGGACAAAAGAAGAAACTCCAGAAGACAAAAGGTGACTTGCCCCTTGTAAACTATTGTACAATCTTTAGCAGCAGTTGCTCCCTGTATAAAACACCCATAAAGGAAAATTAAATAAAGAAATGTTATATAGAAGAAAGCAAGGTGTCAAGTTTCTTTTTTTTTTCTTTCAAGTTTTTTGCATTTGTTTGTACACAAAATAATTGATCTTAAACCATTTTAATAGTACAGATTGATACATTGTGACAAACATTAGTAAAATTATCTTTATTAACAAGGCTGATTGAATAATAAAACACTGATTCACATATAAAATCAAACATAATATATAGAGCAGGGTTCTTCAAGTCCTGACCTCGTAGTCTGGTGTCCTGTCCCTTCTAGATGTCACTGCTTCATCACACCTGAACCAAATAATCAGGTCATTAGCAGGACTATGGAGAACTTCACACAATCTCAGTACTGCAAATTGTAGCCCATTGCTGAATACGAATTCAGCGTCTGCGTCCTCCGAAGGCCTGTTTGGATTGGAAGACTCTTCATTCTTTTTGGACGTTTGGAAACACAGGTCTGCTGTATCCTCTGTTTCATTGGGTATAACTTGATTCATTACTGTCATGATGGGTTTCAGAAAAGCCCAGTATGCAGAACACCACGGAAACAGATGAAAAGTTTAACAAGTTCATTTAACTTCTCAAATCCAAACTCATCTGCTCCCAAGCAGTTAGCTTGGGAGCAGATGAGTTTGGATTTGAGATTTTCTGATTTATACCTTGAGGAGTCCGGGTTTGGCTTTGAGAGAGGAACTGTTGGGTCCAGAGACTGTTTAGTTCAGCAGAGTTCAGTAACCGCTTCAGCGTCTTGCTTCTAGCGTGAGAGCAGACCTTGGCTTTGGGTTTCCAGGTCTTAGTCCAGAGCAGCATGAGAATCCAGAGAAGAGTCTTCAGGTTTGGCTCAGAGGGCAGGCTCGGCAGGTTAAGCTCATCCAGAGCTTACAAGGGAAACTGGATTCCTGTAAGCAGAGACAAGAGGAATTAGAATCCAACCAGGGAATAGAAGCAACGAAGGTACTCAGAAGATGCTAGGCTCAGGTGCTAACCAAACTGGATAAACACTGCGGCGTTGAGGCAAGGTCTAAAAGCCCGTTACATACTGGAGGATCCTCTTGATGATGAGATGCGCCTCAGGTGTGTCGAAGGCTCAGCTCAGGAGGATCCACGGCGAACTCTGCTGGAGAAAGGTAGAACTTCTCCAGATCCCAACAATTACAAGTTCAAGCAAACCAGTTGCTCCATGCGCAGAGGAAAAAGGTAAATGGCGCCAAACAGTGGTGGTTGAATATTCTAAGTGGAGTTCAAGTATGTGAATAGTTCAAATCAATTCAGTTTATTAATATAGCGCCAATTCACACCAATGTGATCTCAAGGCACTGTACAGTTCATCAGTTCATATAGTCAAATTGATTTAAAGTTTTCAAGGTTTTTTTTTTTTTTTTTTTTTTTTTTACCCAACACTAGAATGGTGTTTTATAGTTGGATGGTTCAAGTGAAAAAGACAAGGATATCTATAATAATTGGACAGAAATAAAAACAGTCTGCTTTGGGGATTTTTAGAGTGACTTGTTCCATTCAATGGAATGTCAAAATTATATTTGTGTAAATGATTGAACTTCATTTGTATTCAAGTATCCCATTATTTTATAAAGATTTAACTTTAACACCCGATGCCATCATCCTGGAGTTTTTGAGTAAATTGTATTTTTATTTTTTTTTATGTTTTGCAAAGTACAAATGAAATATCAAGTTAATAATAGGACAATGTTTTTCTCATATTTTCATCCATAGGCTGTATTAAGATGTGAGCAATTTTATGCCATTTTCTTCGATCATGCATCAAGTTAAAAGATAATTTTAAAACCTGGGGCATATTTTAAATAACTTTTAAAGATATGGGCTCTGACAAAAACACATGAGGAGCCTTTCTCTCTGATGGTAATTTTGTTGTGGGAGATTCATAAACTGGTACAAATTAAGTACCACCTCCTGCATATTCATTGTTTCGTCTGCATTCGCTCCATCGGAATTGGTTTTTGAAGTAAAAACAAAAAGCCTCCTGACTGCACAAAACTGTCAACGGGGAATCTAGACTGTGTTAACGTCTTGCAGACAGTTTCTCTTAAAGAAACAAAACAGAGGCAGTTATCTTTTTGAGAGGATGCTAAAAAAAACTTTGTCTCCACTGTGATCAATACTGGTCAGCGTTATTCACTGGATGTGATCATCCATGTGTTCCCCCAGGAGGCAAGTAAAAACCGTTTCATTTTTCATTGTTTGGACTTATTGAACATGAACACGGATCCACTGATGTAAGAGGATGTCAAAGAGATAAAAAAAAAAATTGTAATCTACCCATGGGAGTTTTAAAAGGCATAGCTTTTAAGTGATTGGAAAAAAAGAGAAATCTTAATCTCCCTCGAGATCAAAAAAAGAAGTAGGGATGGATGACTTCTCCTTGAGAATTGGATAAAACATAGCAAAGAGAGTTTTTAAATATATTTTTCCCAAAGCTGTTTTACAAATAAACACAGACTTAAAGTGATATATGCACGCTCAGCAACATTTAGTGGAAAAAGCCCCAAACATATCATACACACAGGTGAATTTAAACCACCATAATTAATGATGATTGTCTAATGCTGACTCAAGTATAATTAATAAATAGTTAAAAGAGAATAGATTTGAAAAAATTTAGATGATTTTATTTACTCTGTTGGCTATAAAAAAGAGACAAAGGAAACTCTATTATAAAGTGAGAGAAAAAAACAGTTGTGCAAAATGTCAGAAAAATATTTAATTGCAGCACTATTACATACAACTTCAACCATAATATGGATAACATGAACCCTAACGCCTTTTGTCCATTCAACTGTCAAAATGTATTGAAAAAAGAAAATATGACAGTGTCATGTTATTTCCAAATCGCATAAACGGAATTGTGAGAATACATTGTGCAACTTTAAACATTTTCTTACTTTGTAATTTTAATACTACCAACCGTATGGTATTTGACTTTTATTCAGGTATATAACAATTATGCAAACATGCACCAGCTTTTCTGGGCTTTCAAAGTCATTGTTGAAAACGTTCTGGCATTCCTGTCCCACTTTGTGCAGTTGATCATGTAAAACAATTCAAATGAGTTCCTGCATACCATGACATCCAAGATGACAATCTAAAACAAAGTAGAAAGATTTTAATTTTCCGGCTTTACTTTGACTTTAAATGAGAAGCTTTATCAAATCGAATCTCAATCAGTTTTCATTAAATCTTTGAACTTATCAGCAGTGCTGTCTGACCACAAAACTAAACAGAGACAAATCTGTAACATCCATCTTTTCTCTCTATTACCCATCTGACTCAATCAGTCCCAGTCCTGACAGCAAGCCTGTCCTCTCCTTTCATCTTGCTCCTCTTTTCAAAGCTGTCACATCCATCTTATTCTTTGCAGCTCCATTATACAGTGTAACCCAAATAAAATAAATGCATGAATAAGTCGTTTATGTGATCCATAGAGTTCAGATAATTATTCACATTTCCATAAGAAGAAGCACTCATTGATTTATTGTGACCCTATGCAGTTTCCAAGGTTATGGAATGAGAAATTGATTGGTGGTGAGCTGGGATGGAGAGAGGAACAAACTCTCACATTATCCAAATATTCAAATCTCTCACCAGCTCTCTTTTTCTCCCTGCCGCCATGCCTCAAATATCCGTGACCAAATGGACTTATAATTGGAAGTCAGGAGGCCCAGAAACACTCCCACACCTTCACACAGTCACACAGATATTAGTTCTGGTGAGTTATGGGGTTGATCTAAGCATGTGGAGAGAAAATGAAAGAAAGAAGTCATTAGGTGTGAGAATTTCTCATCCTCCATGTTTTTACTCTTTTAATCTGTTTTTTTTTTTTTTTTTTTTTTTTTTGTCAGAGTTTCAAAAGCATTCAACTATTTTTCTGTTCACTTTATACCAGTGTCTGTTACAAAGTTTGTGTTTATTAAGAGATTCCATAAACAGGGTCATTAGGTTTTCCTTGTGTATGATGGAAGTTTCTCCTTGTTTGGACTGAAATTTCTTTGGATTTATACACTTCTTTAGGAAGTCATATCAGATAGCAATGACGAAGAAAAAAGCTCAGCCGGGCCCAACAGAAAAACATTTAAAATGTTATTGAAATATGCGTTTTTACATTGGGAGGAAGCCACTGGCAGTAAGATCAGTAACCTCTGAAGGAAGAAAGATGATGGCTGGCAGAAATTATCTGTTAGGAACAAAAGGAATGATCAGATCCCTTATATAAGATGGAGCTTGGCCTTTTAAGGCTTTATATTTACGAAGGATGATTTTAAATTCTAAACAGCAAGGATTTCTAACTTTTTCACTTTTTGTTATGATAAAATCCAACCTCAGTCTCAGGCAGTGTTTTGACAATAATTGAAACGCAATTTGAAGTATCACAAGTAACAAATGATATAAAACCTTCATCCAGCCACAACACTTCCTTCCAGTCTTCCTCTGTCCAATGTCTGTGTTCTTTTGCCCATCTTAATCTTTTTCTTTCATTGACTTTTTCTTTGCCACTCTGCCCTGAAGCCTAGAATCGTGCAGCCGCCTCTTCATTGTAGATGTTGATACAGGTGTTTTGCAGGCACTATTTAATGAAGATGCCAGTTGGGGACCTGTAAGGCATCTGTTTCTCAAACTAGAGACTCTAATGTACTTATCTTCTTGCACAGCTGTGCAACGCGGCCTCCCACTTCTTTTTCTACTCTGGTTAGAGCCTGTTTGTGCTGTCCTCTGAAGGGAGTAGTACACACCGTTG